TTTTTTTTTTTTTGCAGTTTTTGGCCAGGGCTGGGTTTGAACCCACCACCTCTGGCATATGGGGCTGGCACCCTACTCCTTTGAGCCACAGGCACTGCCAAAGAAAAGTTTTATAAAAAGGGTATGAAATGGGACAGTGCCTGTGGCTCAAAGAAGTAGGGCACCGGCCCCATATGCCGGAGGTGGCAGGTTCAAACCCAGCCCTGGCCAAAAACTGAAAAAAAAAAGGGGGGGTATGAAATGAAAAAGATAAAGGTCCTTTTTCTGCCTTCTTCCCCATGCAATTCCTCAGAGGCTACCCTGTTATGTTTCTTTGTTAAAAAGAGATATGATTTAGACAGATACACTCATAAGTTTCAATGTCCCTGTTAAACTGTAGTTTAATTATAACTTTCAGGGAATTATATATGCTTGGCTTTTGTACAGGATAGAGACAGTTGATAATCCAGCCAAGTCTTCTTTTGCTACCATATTTTTGGCATTTGTAACCAGAGAAATTTTCTGCCAGAAGACAATAGGATGTTCCATTTTTTTTAAATCTTGTTTAACTAAAGGATCTGTCATGGTGACTCATCTTTCACTTCAAGGGAGGAGAAATCTGTGCTTCAGAGTGGAGCTGCACTGCAGTTTAGGTGTTCATCCAGGAGCCTTTGGATAAGGTGCAGGCAGTCCCCGGGTTACAAATGAGATAGGATCTGCAGGTTTGTTCTTATTAAACTTGTATGTAAGTTGGAACAGGTACATTTACCTATTATCTGCAATAGCCTCCATTTGTAAGTGGGAGTTGTACATCAGTCGGATGTTTATAACTCAGGGACTGCCTGTATTGTTCTCAGGCATGAAGCAGGAGCCCAGAGCTAGAATTTGCAGTCCTGACATCAGTATCATTTGCATTTTCTCTGATGAGAGGGTTTGTCAATGGCTGGCTCTTTCTCTCTTTTCTTTTCCTCCTTCATTAACTGTTTTGTACAGTAGTTATCAGACCATAGTTGCCTTCAGAAGGGAGCAATGGAACTCCCTCCCCTCAACCACTGAAGCCACAAAGAAAATATAAAGAGAGTCATTTCAACTAGTGGGTTGTTTTTTGTTTTTTAGGTATTTTCTGTTTTGGGGGGGTTTTTTGGAGACAGACTCTTACTCTGTTACCCTGGGTAAAGTGCTGTGACATCATAGCTCACAGCAACCTCAAAAACTCCTGGGCTCTGGCCGTATACA